ACGTAATACGACTGGTACACTTCAAGCGGCCTTTTTTCTTTTTTTTTTTTTTTTTTTTTGAACCATCTAGCTGGCACGATACTCTATCCCCAATGTATGGTATTATTGGCAACCGCTGACAAGTCTGCGGGCTCGGAATACGTAGTTTGTACGTTCTACACGTTGGCTGACATTAAAGATCGTTATATTCAATCTTGTTCAATCCTGAGCTTTCAAGCTCCTTACACCCAGGTCTTTCTTCTCTTAAACTCTTAAACAAAAACTCATTAATAAGTCAATGAGTCACTAATGATATACTTTATTTAAAAAATTAAGTAATACATTGCGTGCTAAATCGTCGAGAAACAACGAGGAAATTGTAGAGCAGGTGATAACCAGTAGTATAACTGGGATGACGTATGGATAAAAACACACTGGATGAATCATTAGCTCCTCGAGTGAATATATATTTTCGTCATATTGAGTCATTGGGAGTGGATTAATTGAGACGAGTTTCATCTATTGACAGAGTCTTTTTATCGAGTAGAAACAGGAGGGATAATCAAAATGCTATCTGGTTTGGCGAGCACATTTCATGCTGCGACGTTCATTCCAGGTCAGTAACGTCATACGCTGATCAAAATTATCATTAGAGGCAACTTGTCTTGTCATTAGAACGTCAAAGAAAAACCAAAAGAAGGTCTTTACTTTCTTAATACCTCTGTCAAGTTTTGTCACTTACCGACAGAAACCACACTTTTAAATTGAAGACTCTTTAACTAAAAAAATTAAATATACAGATATGCTAAGAAAATTGTGTTTTTATGGATCAGTAATCTCCTTAAAAATCAATTAATGGCGAAAGGCACCGTCAAAATATTTTAAAAAGTGATGATCATGATAAAAGCGGAAATACTATGAAAACGGAACTTGCAGCAGTTTATCAAAAACACACTTTAAACGGTAAAAAGTTAGAATGTGTATAAGTTTTGTGACTTATTTCTAATTGAATACTGATTGGACTATACCAGAATTTTTATAAGAGGATACAACGCCATCTTAGTATTGCTTCAAAGTGTACTCAGTTGATCGCCTTTCTCGCTCCGAAATCCTTAGATCTGGAACACGTGATTCCATAATTGATAGAAACAAGAAAATCAACATGCAGCTTATATGAAGAAAAAATAACTTGTTCGCTTATTAGAATAACAGTACACTGAAAAAGAGCGCTACGAACTGCATCAAACTAGCTGTTTAGGGTCGAGCTTCAAAACGTCAAGTACAAAATCTAAAACTTAAAAGAGGAAAGGTAGAGCCTAGCGGTGCTTTAGGTCAAAAGAATTTCCTCATGAGTATTACGAAAAAAGTATTAGAAACAAGATCCTATTTCGGATGACAATAAAAGCAACGAATAAGCTTTTAGCTTTAGATCAATGCGCTATTTAAATACGTTAAGCTTCGCAATTTTCAATTTCATTAAATGCCAAGATAGCGTACATCTCGAATGTGAATATTAAAAGATTGAAATTTGCGCAAACTATACCATTAGCGCGTCAGCTTTTTTTTTCACGTTATCAACTTAATCCTATTTTTTTAACATAGGAGTTTAGTTCAAAAAATGTATACATATAAAGCTAAGAATCATAATTGTAGGATATCTGCTGGAAAGCGGAAGTCTCCGTCGATATATTTTTGGGTATTGCATTTATTCTCAGGAGTAAAAGAGCCAATTGACATTCATGATTTTTCTACTGTTTAGACAACAGTGTTGAAAAAATGTATATCAAAGCGGGACCGTTCCTTCAGGCTAGCTCCAAATAAAATTTCTGAGACGAACGATTCGTTCCGCCACTGCATAAGTATACATTTACTATTTCTACTTAATGATTTGGATATATCAACAAAGTTGAAATGGTAAATTGGCCACCGTGACGATTACAAAAGCTGACGTTTCGAGCGTTAGCCTTTCATCGGAGCGAATAGAGGAATTGTGGGTTGTGTGTGCTTTTAAAGGGCAGAAATGGAGCTACGTTATTGGTGGGAACATGGCAACGAGAAAAACAAGAATAAATTACGGGAATATTTCTACTTAGTTTGCTAGCTGTGCGCTTTATCAACCGATTATGTACACTTTTTTTTTAATTTTGTTGTCTTTATTCTTACACGTGTATACCACAATCATCAAATTAATTGTGTCCGACTTAACGAGAACGCATACTCTCCGTGTTGCTTCTTTCTGGATACTGTGCAATTTTAGGGTTTGGGCGCCATCTTAACCTCGCTTACCACTAGCCTCTATTTCATGCGAAAACTGAGTCCCGCGTGCTTTTTATATGAAGTCCTGCGATTTGACTCTATAAATCTGGATACCATGGGACGATATGTATATAAATTGTAATTACTTAACCATATGAAACGAGTTGCCAGTCGTGGATAGTGACTGTAAAAATAGGTATCTAGAAATTCTTAGAATGTTGAGTCATACTCATTTGCATACATAAACTTTCGATGGAGCTTTCTGGAACATATGTATCAAATTATATAGCTATGATGTAATGCTACCAAATTAGCTGTGTCGTAAGCTTCTGGTTTTCATATGGTTTTCATATGGTTCTGAAATATTTTGTAAAGATATATTAGGACTCGGTCTTGTAGCAGGAGTTGTTTGCTGTTGTCGGGAGTGACTGACTGTTTGGAGTACTATACCAAGAGAGAGCTATTGTAGAAGATCTTTCATTTCAAGGAACTTTGCAGCGACAACTGTATGTGAACGTATGTCAGTGGTCAGCTAAGTACAAACTGTAGTGGGCATAAGTAAGTTTATTTAGTATAGCTGCTGAAATGCGTTTCGGAGTAGCTCCATGGTAATAGTATCACAAGTCTTTTAATAAATTAGTTGAGTTCGTGGAAGTAGCATTTCTCTGTCGGTTTGAATTGTATCGTAACATACTACAAATCGGAACTATGCGTTTCACACCCATTGGATATTCGTGGGCTTAACTACACCCTGGAGTTTTGTAACGCCAAGACAAAAATCCCATTCCTAAGCTAGATCAAAGGGTCTATAGTTATCAATAAGTATTTCTATCGTTGTCATTAGCATTCTTTTAAAAACAGTTCCTTTCTCCTTATCTAACCCGCAGTTGTGCAAAGCTGCTTCAGAACAGCAATATAAAGTAAGTGCTTTATTACCAGCTAACTAAGCAAAGTTAAAAAAAGATGAATGAACAGAAAATGACCTCTAGATAATTAATACAGTTCCTATATTAGAATGATCCCCAGCATTTTGATTTTACCCAAACTATGCGAAGCACTGGTGTGTAATCATTTCTCACGCTCCATCTTTTATTCATCAAGAAACGAGTCCAGAGAGTCAGGCAATAACAATGAACGCACGCCGGGCCAGCGCGCGTCACAAAGCAGCATTGCAGTGTTTTCAAAAATGGCGGCAGAATTAGGAATCTCCGAGAGAAGACTGGGGAGGAGTTAGGTTTGCTAAAACTAAAGGGTCTTCCCGCCTTCTGAGGAAGCTGTGTTGCGTCATTCACAAGAGAATGTGGTAGCTTGTTCCATTAGCTTTCAGGAGATACCAAACATGTCATGGTTTCGCTATCGAAGGACGGATTTTCTGCGAGTGACTTCCTTGGTCTAATGGCGTAGATTTGCTCGACACTACAAAGCTAAGTTTTTGGCTCCGATAGAATTTTACAGTTTTCCAAACAACAGCATTTGAAAGGAATATTTTACATCTTTGAGACCTAG